TTTGTCAGCCAAGTAGCATTGGGTGTTGTACAACTCGACATTTAACGGCCACAGAGACGTCACGTGAGCCACGCGTGCTATTTCCGTCGAAGTTAGCTGCCGACGTTAACGGCAGAACATAAAGTGATCAAAAGTGGCAAGTTTGAGGACATATTTCGTGGATTGAAATGTTTGAGGACATAAATCGTTTTAGTGGTAAAGTTTAGGGACATAAATTGTAATTTTCCCTATTTGTAAATCATTCAAATTTTTATTTTTATTTAAAAAAAAAATCAAAATTTAAATTCAAGAAATTTTGTTTTGTTTGAAGCTGGGTCCCATTAAATAAGAGTCTCCAAACCAATACCTAAATTTTGAACCAAGTTTGCATATTTTGCAAAAATCTGAAAATTTAGAGCCCCTTAAAACTTCTTATTGGTGTTGGATTTTGTTGCAGAATTTCTATATTATGCAGCTCAATGGAGTTTAGAGACTCCATTGGAGATGCCGTTATTACTTATTAAGGTGAACAAATGCCATGTGTTTAGTTTCCGACCAACCTTCACAAATTGGATACTCTGCCGTGATGGAATTAGGGTTGTGCTTCTTCCACCACTTCATTTTAAATTCACCAGAATACATTATATTTTGGGGTTTTTGTGCATAAGTCCCCAACCAAGCATCTTTATTATTCTAGGTTTAGGGGCTATATTTCTTTCACCAATAAGCCCATCCCTTTAATATTTATTATAAATAAAAGAAACATTCATGCATATGACAATATTACCCAACCCTTTATACCCAATTCTTAATTGTAACCTAAATTTAATCATTGTCCACAAAATGCAATTTTGACCACAAAAATTTAATTTTGACTTTTTTTTTTTTAAATTGTCAAAAAAAAAAATTTCCGCCAGTCGCCGGTGTTGACTTTTCGAAATTTTTTTTTCTTTCAGATTTTTTCGCCGGTTTCCGGCGTTGACTATTTTTTTCCTTCCGGAGTTTTTCGCCGATTTTCGACGTTGACCGGCGGTCTCCGGCGTTGACTTTATTTTGGGTTTTCCTAAGTTTTTTTTGTTTTGTTTTTTTTTTACGTCCGCCGCTAAACGTTGACCATAATTTTACTGTCACTGACAATAAATTAACGTAATAATATTGTCAATGAAAGTTAATTAACGTAATTGTACTACCGTTGACAATACATTTATTTAATTGTTCTGCCGTTGACAGTAAATTAACGTAATATTATTATTTTTTATTTTTTGTTATTTTTTTTTATTTTTTTTGATTTGTTGACAAGTCAACGTAATTATATTACTGTCGTTGACAGTAAAATAACTGTAAACACATAATAATAATATTACTGTCACCAACATCAATATTATTATTTTTTTTTTTTGATTTTTTTTTTTGTTTGAGTTATTCACGGAGTAACGTAATAATATTATTGTCTATTATTGTAATATTACTGTAAACACAATAATATTACAGTTGTTATAGTAATTTTGCTGTCAACCAAATCAATATTATTATTTTGTTTGGATTTTTTTGTTTGTTTGAGTTATTCACGGAGTAACGTAATAATAGTACTATCTATTATTGTAATATTACTATGGTTGACGGTATTATTACTGTTGTTATAGTAATATTACTGTCACTCACAGTGATATTAATTCTTTTGCCTTTTTATTATGTTTACATTTGTTAAACGGTCAACATAGTAATATTACTCTATTATACAATAATAATGAGTTTTGTTGTGTTAATATTATTGTACGTTCTAGAGATTAATATAGCAATATTATTGTGTTAAACTGTAGTTTAGTTAATTTTACTGTGTTTAACAGTAATATAGTTAATATTACTGTCATAACAGTAATATAGTTAATATTACTGTCAATCACAACAATATTGTTGTTTAAACGAAAAAAAATGTTACAGAAAGAAAAAAAAATCGAAAATTCAACACCGGAATCCGGCAGAAAAAAAAAATTGAAAAAAAAAAGTTTTTGGTCAAAATTGAATAATTTGAGGTCAAGTTGAGGTTAAATTAAGTTAAGGATGAAATTAGAGCATATTAAAGTATGATGGTTATTTTAGTCTTTTACAAATATCTGGACCATGTGTGAACTTATTGGTGAAAAAGTTTTTTGTCTGGATCTATTTATGAATAAGTATGTATTGATGAACTTATTTGCAATGACCCCTTATATTTTAATCATATAAGATACGAGCATTAAAATAATGATTAGCCAAGTTTGCAATTCTCTAACTAAATACTCCCTCCATTCAAATTACATGTCACTTTAGAAAAATTACGTTCTAATTCTCTCATTTTGTCTCTTAATTTCCCCGTTCTCCCTCTCTATTATTAATTGCAAATATAACTAACTCCAATTTTTATTTATTTTATTGTCCAACAACTACAATCATAAGTTTTATTAAAAAGACATAACTGCATGATCAATACTAATTATATTTAACTTTTTCACGTGAAGAATGACAAATAAAGGGTATATTAGTCTATAGATGAATTTTCTCCTCAAATTTAGTCATATTTATTGGTTTTCTTAGTTTTTGAACAAATACCTTAAATGTCACATAAATTGGCATGGAGGAAGTAGATTTTTTAATCTTATACCACGACGTAACTACTACTTATTGAAATAAAATAAAAAATAGTCGACAAAATAGTGAGGAACCCCCACCCCACCTCAATTTGTTTGGTTAGAGCAACTCCAATGGAGTTATCAAATAGAGTATTCAAATATTTAACCACTGTTTACATATCATAAAATAGAAATTTTTAATTCCAACGGAGGTATCAAATGAGGGTTCTATTTTGATAATTCAACTCATGGCATGTAAATATACTTGCTGAAAATTGAGTTATAAAAAATGTAACCTTCTAAACATTCAATCACAAGGCGACATGTGACAATTACAAACATAAACTTCCAATTGATAATTAATTTGATAACCATGATTGAAGTAGATGAATTTGGGCGAGCAGGGCCTAGGCCCAGGGCCCAGTTCATGGTGGGGCCCAAAATTTCAATTATCTTTTATATTTTTATGTTTATCTTCTTTTTTTTTCGTTCTGAATTCATGGTGTTTTTTACTCTTCACGCCTTTTCAGTTTTAATTTTTATTTTTTACGATTTTTCTTCATCCATTTACTGCTTGAACTATTTTCAATATTCACCTTTTCTCTCTCATCTCAACTACTACCATTATGTACTTTATTATCACCGTGAGGAATTTTGAAGTGACCTAATTACTATATTATTTATTTCTTTTAGTAAATAAAAATAATTTTTTTAATTCCGTAACATATTTTTTCTATTGATTCTGGCAATGGAAGGCCATACAAATATATGTGATTTTATTCTATTAATAAAACAACTTATATTATTTTAGATTTTCTTTTCCTTGTGTTCTGGTCTAATTTTTTGTCGAGTTTTAAAAAA